GAAGAAATACACGGATTTTGACATTTAGTGATAACGGGAAAATTCTCGAAAAAATTTGGAAAAAGATTTAACTTAGTGAAAAACTTGTTCTTTGCAAACTCTAAAGCAATTTCACGAACAAAAACTCGGACATTTTTATTTCATTTTTGACCGTAATTTATGTCATTTAACTCTATGTGAGCAAACAAAACTGCTCTGTATTATACAAAATTTGGCCATATAGTTGAACGTGCAAGAATATTTAGTAACAGAAGTTAAGAACAAACTGCTGGTTGTATAATAAGGAAAGTGATGTTAATTACCGGGCTATCAAATTAATTTGCCAAAATTCTTCATTCAAAAACGACAAACAAAAAGCTTGATCGTTCATAGTATCTAAGAAAAGGCAGGAAATGAGATTACGATTATCCTAACCTTATAGGAAACCATGAATTGAAACTTGTAATCAGCCAACAATTGAAGAATTTCAAGCTCAAAGTAGTTGCCTACACCAGTTAAAGCAAGTGCTCAAACAACTCAAAAAGTGTAAATGAGAAGAGATATAGTATCAGTTATAACGTAGAAAGAATATGAGATATAGGAGAGATGAGGAATAGCAGATAAAATAGAAGAGAAATTTAGAAGTGCGACGACAGCATAAGCATAGGCGAATGTGTCACAGAGGCAGAAAGCGAAAGCCGACGTGCACTCTCTTTTTCAATGGCGAAACCCGCTTGACGGCAACGAACTTGATCCTCGTAGATGGAAGCTAACATCGAAGGCAAAAGTTCAGGTTTAGCCCCCATAGTGCGCGATGAAGACGAGGTGGCATCGCTCATTGCGCAATTTACGCGCAACCCGTCCCTGGCTTGCTAGCGTGAACTTTTCTTTACGCGTTCAGGTACGAGATCAGAGAATTTCGCTTTCATAAATTGCTTATCATATCGAGATTGATATTTGGTGACGAGTTACCACTAAAGTATGCTCTTGTTCCGGTTTATTGGACGCGGTGCTGTTGGCGGCGATGCCTGGCTGCAAAACTGAATCAATGTGCACGTTGACGTTTCCGGGCAGACTTGCAACTGTCCTGTCACCGTTCCCCGTTTTCATACACTTACGATACCCAGCGCGGGCTTCTGCTTGTCAGCATGCCCGTCTGGAACAGGTTGCATGCTTTCACTCTATGTCAACTGCCACAAAACGTATTTCTTTTGGCTTGAACAACGGCAAGAAAGTGGATCGAAATGGGTTCGTGCGTTTGTGCATGTGCGTGTATGTGTGTGTGTGTGGATAGATCATCTGGGTAAAACGACAAAACTTTTTGGAGTACCCATAAAGGATAAGGGCAT